CTTCCAGTCCTGCTTTTGTGCTTACACATTTCTGCCTGTCCTTGCAGGTGGTGCCCTTGTCCCTGCAGCACTGCCAAGCTCCTCACCACAGTCAGAGCACAAGGCAGATGAAGAGGAGGAGGAGGATGAAACTGTTTGGGGGTCCTTCCCCAGGAGGTGGCACTTGGAGAACTATGGGGGCGGAGAGCTGGTCCCCTACACATCCCTACATGTGAGGGCCCCATTCTCCAAGCTGCCTGTGTGCAGAGAACAGCATACCAAAGGCTCAAGCAGGTCCTGCCTCCTCTTCTGTCTGATTTGGAGCAATACAAGGGCAGGTAGTGACAGGACAAAGGGGAATGGCTTCAAACTGCCAGAGGGGAGACTGAGCTGAGCTCTTAGACAGAAGCTCTTCCCTGTGAGGGTGCTGAGGCGCTGGCACAGGGTGCCCAGAGAAGCTGTGGCTGCCCCGTCCCTGGCAGTGTTCAAGGCCAGGTTGGACACAGGGGCTTGGAGCAAGCTGCTCTAGTGGAAGGGGTCCCTGCCTGTGGCAGGGGTTGAAACTGGACGAGCTTTAAGGTCCTTCCCAACACAAACCAGTCTGTGGATACTACTGTGGATACTACTGTGGATGTGCTGCTGCATGGGATGGGCAGGGACACGAATGGGCTGTGCTGGGGAGCAGAGGGGAGCTGCAAGAACCTGGTATGCTGGAGCTGCTGTTGGTGCCTGCTGGGAGGTTCGCCCAGCAGGCGGGCTGTGAGTCAGGGCAGCACTGGAGCCAAGCTGTGAGCAGAAACCTGGGAGGGAGCCAGCTGGGAGAACCAAGCCCTCCTGCTCCGGCCCAGGAGCTGCTTTCACTTCCAGTGTTTCCAGGTCTGTGCCCTGGCAGCGCCAGCTCACCCAGCCTGGGCCCGGGTTTCCTGAGCACTGTGGTGCGGAGCAAGTTTAGGGGAAGGTGTTTGCGGGCTCTGGCCGTGCTGCCAGCAAGGGGCTGGGCTGGGGGGTGTGAATTGTGTGCCTGGGAGTTTGCAGCCCGTCCCTTGGATCCGCTTCAGCTTTGCCTCAGGAAGGGAGGCTGTGATTTGACCGTGTTTATAGTCCCGTGGTTCACAGCGGTGACAGGACGGGCTGGGTTTGGGCCAGGCTGGACCCTCTGGAGCCAGGCCCTTCTCCACCTCCGGGACAGAGCTCTAGTGCCAGATCTCAGCTTCCCGGAGCTGTGCCTTTAAGGCAGCCCGCAGCCTGGCCTGGTTTACTGGGCGGCTGATGCTTCCCAACACGTGGTGGCTGCGTGATCAGCCCCCCGGGATGTGGAGTCACTGCAGCTCAAGAAGCCCTCGCTGCCTCTCCCCGCCCTCTTCCCCCCCCCCCCCCCCCGCGCTGTGCTCTGTGTGGGTTCCAACTGCTTCGGGTCACTGGCAGGAAGACGTTCAGCTCAGAGTGTCCTGGTGCTTGTTCATTCAGGAGGGTAACAGAATGCCAGCCTGGTTTGTACTGGAAAGGACCTTAAAGCTCATCCTGTCCCAAACCCCTGCTTCTCCTCACACAGCATGGATCAGCCACAGGACCCACCACTGCATCCCAAAGATGTGTCTGTCCCAGGGCTGCTCCCTGAGCTGGGCAGTGGGACACGATGCCGGGTTACATCGTGTCCCCAGGGTCCGGTGGGGAGGAATGGCCAGATTCTTCCTGTGAGCCCCTTCTCTGGGCTGGGATCCCTCATTTAGATGATGTCCCTGCTCATTGCAGGTGGTTGGACTAGATGAGCTCTGAAGGTACATTCCAACCCAAACTGTTCCGTGATTCTATGATTCTATATCCCAACCCTCCTGCTCTCCCGTGACAACTGATCTCACTCCCTGTAGTGGGACCATTCCCTGGTCTCCCTGCCTGTGCATACACACTGGCCAAGCTGCTCCACTTAAGACTTGATGCCTTCTTGGAGACTGTGATCTCTTCCTGTAGATGATGATGCCTTCTTGGAGATTGTTATGTCTTCTTGGAAATCATGATGGTTTTGGAGGGGATCTTGGTGTCTTCCTGGAGATCGTGATGTCTTCTTGGGGATCTTCCTCTGCCCACGCTGGGTCAGGCCACCCCTCTCCTCCCTGCATCACTCCAGGCCAGCACTTAAGCTTGAGCCAAGAGGATGAGTTGGGACATGACAGTGATGAAGAGCTCTTGGAAGAGGAAAACACGGCCATGTACAACATCGGGAGTACCCCAGGATCCTGGGCCTCTCTCAGGACCCCTGTGCTCTGCAGCAGGTTTTTTCAGTGCTGTGTTCCTGCCAAGCCTGTGCTTTAGCTGGTGCTCGTTCTGTGTGGTCAGTTTGTGCACGTCTGGCGTGTGCAGCAGCTTTGTGCATCTCCAGTGAGAGCAACATACCCAGTTCCAGGAGTACCTGGGGGGACACTGGAAGTTTCCCCCAACACCAGCACCACCCAAAGGCATCAGGCAGGGCCTGAGGGGACCCAGTCGTGGCAGGTTTTGAGCTTGTTGCATTCCTGAAGTTATCTGGGGCTAGGAATAGAAGCTGAAGTGGTGTCTGAACCTGCCTTCATCAGGAAGCTCCTCTGCATGGGGGTGCTCAAACCAGTGTGGCTTGGCTTCGGTTTTATTTATATCTGTCTTATCCATCTATTTCTATCTATCTATCTATCTATCTATCTATCTATCTATCTATCTATCTATCTATCTATCTATCATCTATCTATCATCTATCTATCATCTATCTATCTATCTATCTATCTATCTATCTATCTATCTATCTATCTATCTATCTATCTATCTATCTATCTATCTACCTACCTACCTACCTACCTACCTACCTACCTACCTAATCTATCTATTCTCCAAGGTTGGTTTCCCGACATGAGACCATGCAGGGTTTTGCTGTGGCAGAACAGCTTGTGCTGGTGCAGACACCCTTCAGTGCCCTCCAAAGCTGCTACAGGGATGGAAATAATGTGGGAAGGGCAAGAAAATCCCTGCTCCCCTGTGCTTTATGGGACGACTCTTGTGCAGGAACAGCAGGTTTCTCCTGCACCGCCTGCCTCCAGCTGCTCCAGCAAATTATCAACCCCCCATTCATTGCCATTGTCATCTTTCACCTGCCTTCTCCTTCTCCTCTTCCCAGTGCTGCTGAGGGCCCTTGGGGAAGGGGAATGTGGTGATGCTGCTCCTCCAGTCCCTGTTGGACCTCACACGGGGGGATCTGCACCGTAGCAAACAGAGCTGGGACAGATGGAGGGGTTGCCTTTGGGTTTTGTTGTTCTGAGGAGGTAGAGGAGAGGGGAGGGGAGGAGAGGGGGAGAAAGAGGAGAGGACAGGGAGGAGGAAGAAGAGGACGAGAGGACAAAAAGGTAGAGAAGAATAATAATGTGATAACATAGTTTGCTTCAGCAAAAGCTTGCTTTGTCTTTGTTTTTGCATTGTATCCTGCTTAAGCACAATTGCATAGGTGGATGAGAAGAATAAGTTCCTGAAACTGTGAAACCGGAACAAGGGAATTTTAAGGCCAGATGTAGGATATATGGCAGTCATGCTTGATCAAGCCAACATCTAATCTTGAAGTAACAGAACAAGTTATAAGGGCTTTAGGTACATGCATGGGGTTAAGTAGATCAACACTTCGTATCAAATAAGACTACAGGCCCTTATCAACTAGCTCTTAAAGGACCCTCCTGGATACGCACAGAAGAAAGAATGAAGATTGCATCAGCCATCGGGAGGTGGGATTTGTCTTCCTGAAATTCCTATGAATATGTAGAAGGCTTGACTATACGAAACTTTGCCTCTGCTCGCAGGTGGGCATGCAGGATATGAAGGCACGCACGCAGTGTTGTGAAAAAGCCTTTGCTCCACTGACTTTGTCCCCGGTTAAATTTTTCTAAAGGTGATCTCCTTTCTCTCAGAGAAGAAGAGGAGGAAAGGAAGAGGGGAGGAGGAGGGGGAGAGAGGGAGGAGGGCAGTAAAGAGAGAAGAGAAAAGAGCAGAAAAGAAGAGCAGGGACTGGAAGGAGAAGAGGAGAGGAGGAGAGAGGCCGGGAGGCAGAAGCCAGACCCGCGGCTTCCCCTCCTCTCGCTGCCGTTGGGAGGAGCCACCGCTCCCGGGCCAGGCGGCTCCCGGTACCGCGGGGCGGGCCGGCCACGGGAGCGGCGGGGGGAGCTCCGGGACTCCGGGTGCCCCGCTCCCACCCCGCTGATGCTGCCCCTGCCCGGCCCCGTCCTCCTCCTCCTCCTCCTCCTGCTCCTCGGCTGCCCCTGCAGCGCGGCCGCCGGCCATGCCATCACAGGCAAGTCTCTGCCGCGGGGGCCTCCGGACCTCACGCCCGAGGAGCGAGCACCGCTGCGGGGCGTAGCGGAGAGGGGGCAGCGGGTCCCGGCAGCTTCTCCGGCTCCCGCTGTGAGAAGCGAATGCGATTCCAGGGACAGGGCGCTCATTACCGCTGCTTGTCTCCGGACAGAAGCGCTTAAAGGAACGTCGGGAGGCGGCCCGGGGCCTTCCCCGGCTCCGGGCATGTGTTCTTGTCAGCGGCGCCAGGGGAAGGGGTTTATGGGCTCCTCCGGCGCCGTCACACCCGGGGTTGTGCGCGTTGGGTGGTTGGAGCAAGGAAAACGGCTCCTGAGTGGGAGCTGGGAGCCGGTGGCCCACTGGGGCCTCCTGCTTTGCCATGGCACTCCTTAAAGCAAGAAGTAACTTTAACAGAGGGGATTGTCCCCTCTGCTGTGCTCTGGGGGAGACCCCCCTGCAGACCTGGGGAGCAGCAACAGCAGAGGGGCGTGAAGCTGCTGGAGTGAGCCCAGAGGAGGCCACAGATGCTGCAAGGGCTGGAGCAGCTCTGCTCTGGAGCCAGGCTGAGAGAGCTGGGCTGGGTCAGCCTGGACAAGAGGAGGCTCCTGAAGGGGAGACCTGAGAGCAGCTCCAGTGCCTAAAGGGGCTGCAGGAAAGCTGGAGAGGGGCTTGGGACAAGGGATGGAGGGGCAGGCCAAGGGGAATGGCTTTAACCTGCCAGAGGGGAGACTGAGATGAGCTCTTAGGCAGAAGCTCTTCCCTGTGAGGGTGCTGAGGCGCTGGCACAGGGTGCCCAGAGAAGCTGTGGCTGCCCCATCCCTGGCAGTGTTCAAGGCCAGGTTGGACACAGGGGCTTGGAGCAAGCTGATCTAGTGGAAGGGGTCCCTGCCCGTGGCAGGGGTTGGAACTGGAGGAGCTTTAAGGTCTCTCCGAACCCAAACTGTTCCATGCTTTTGTGACATCCTCAAGTCCTCAGCGCTGCAGGGAGGCAGGAGCTGCCCCTCAGGAGCTGTGCACTAACGTCTCCTTTCTTCTTCAGGCCGCACGCTTGCTCCCTGCTACTCTGCTGACCTTCGGCCAGCATCAGGGAGACTCGTCTCGGCCATGGGCTGCACCGTGCATCTGACGGTTCCACCGCTGCAGGGCGGCAGAGCTGTCATCTGGGAATACAAAACTGCCCAGCAGGAAGGAGCCATCCTCAGTTATGCTTTCGATGGAGCCAGCACCACCTCTCAGCCTTACGAGAACCATGTGAGGTTCAACAGAACAGACTTCTCGCTGCAGATGGTGCTGCAGCGGGGGGATGACCGGCTGTACCGCTTCAGGCCCGAGCTGGAGGCCACGGGCTGGTTCCAGCTGCACACTGTGGGTGAGTGATGAGATAGAAACCTCCCTCCTCCGCAGCCAGAGAGCTTGAAGGTGCTCTGGGTCTGAGACCTGTTGAACTGTGGGTTTGAACGCTTACAGCCACTCTATCTCTCCTAGAACCACTTTCCAAGCCAGAAATCGTGGGCAACTCATCAGTGAAGGCAGGAGACAACACTAAACTGGTTTGCAATGTCCTGGAAGGGAAGGCAGATGCTTACTGGTGGAAGAAAAACGGAGTGTTGTTGCTGGGGAGCGACCATATCCAGCTTGAGAACACTACCCTGTGCATCCTGAGAGCCTCGATGAATGACAGTGGCTACTACACTTGTGTAGTCCGCAACAAAGTCAGCCAAAATGAAACCTCCTTCCTGCTCCACGTCCAGAGTGAGTGTGGGTTTCCTCTCTGTGCCCAGGAAAAGAAACAGGGGAAATGGCTCCAAACCACCAAGTTTTGGTGGCAGATTTTTGCTTGGAGGGAGTGTGTGTGTGTGTGTTAAATTCAGTCTGGGTGCAGACACTGTGGATTCTCTTCTCTGCAGATGCAGCAAATGTGGTGCTGCCCATGATGCTGGCGTGCGTTGTTGTGGGCTCGCTAGCGGGTGAGTGCTGGGCCTGGCTCTTGCCCTGGCATTTTGGCCTCTGCAGTGGGTGCTGCGTGCGAGGAGGGATGTGGGATGAGGCTCTGTGCTGGCTGAGGTGGCATGGTCATACTGGGACCAGGAAGCCTGTCACTGCTGTCATTGCAAGCAGGGCATCCCCTATCCAAGGAGGTTGTGGTGTTCTCTGCTCCCTTCCCTTGCATCCCTGCTCTCAGGGAAGCTTGTCAGGAAAACGCCTGCTTATACTTCCCTTTCCTTACCTGGCTCAGTCCCCCAAGGACCAACCTTCCCCCTGGGTGCTGGGTGACGTCACACAGCCCTCTACGGTGAGAGCACCGAGCCCTCCTGCGGTCGGTGTTGGTTTCCTGCCCACAGAAGGGCAGCTGCTTCCTCTTTGCTTGTTTTGCTTTTCCTCCTTTTTTTCAGAGCTGGAGAGCCAAGTTTTCCAGCCCATCCCCAGGCCCTGGCAAAGTGAGGGTTTTAATTCTCAGCTTGCCGACCTGGAGAGGAAAACAGAAAGAGGAATAAAAGCCCAAGATTGGGATCTGTCAGTTCAAAACAGCAGTAGGAGTTCTCCTGGGTGACTTAGGCTTGTGTTTTGCTACTGCACAAAGTTGCCAGGTTCTTCCTCCAGGCACTGGACAGGTGCTGGGATCTCCCTTCTGTGCTTCTGTTCCCATCATCCCTGTGATGCTCCTGCCCTACCTGCTCACCCAGAGTGGGGATGGGCAGGGCGGTTTCCTCCAGAGCGCAATGCTTGCCCTGCACTGGAGCACCTGGCTCCAGGTTTCCCAGCTGAACTTTGCCACACTTTGTCCCAGCAGCATCTCTTTGGTGTTTGATGGTGACTGGTTTTTCCGCAGGTCTCTTTGTGTGGTGCAGGTCAAGGAACCACTAGTGTCACAGCGGCTGTAGGTAAGATGCCTCCAGCCCTCTTTGGGGCTGGTCCTGCTCCTCCAGCTGTAGCTACAAGCCTGAATTTATCGTGAGCTGGACACGTGGGATTGCTCGGGGTTCTTTGCCAGCTGCTCCTCACAGGACCAAGAGGCAGCTGAGGGCTTGCTCTCCACTCTCCAGAGGCTCTAAGGATTTGCTGTCTTCCCTGTTTAGTCCCCACTGGGATTCGCTCTGGAAATATCCTTGATTGCCCCACCCAAAGCCTCATACCACACGTTACTTCTGGCAAAGCAGGCACTGAGCACCTCTGCATGGAGGAGACTTTGAGCTGCTCCAAGCCCATCACCCCTTTGCTCCATCACCTGCTCTCCATCAGTGCTGGCTTTTTAATTCTTATTGTGC